ACAGAAACGAGAAAAGAATTTCCTGTTGCAGTCTGATAGATCAACTCGTCCTTCTTGGCAAGTTGGAGATATTCACATTCACAGTATTAAGTCAAAATTACCACTGGACGGACGGTTTCTTCTTGAAGAACCATCCGCTAAAAGAAGCAGAAAAGCAGTATAAATTTTGCTTCAGGGTAAAAGTGGCACAAAGGGATGCGGGTGAGTCGGAAGCCCCTAATTTACACTGCATCCGTCTCCGCTCTGGCACGATACGACGAGAGGATTAAACTGCCACAGCGCGCTGGATGTGTGTGTGTGTACGACAACCTATCAAAATTCAAAACACTTCCACTTTTTTTTTTTTTAACAGGAAACCAGACCAAAAAATAAGTCACTTTCCTGAACCCCTCACTATCATTATAAAAAGATGCTTATATTTATATATCTGTCCTCTCTGGGTTAACCATTTATCATTACATGTATACACATTCAAAGCCCAAAATAACTACTTAATAAAGATCCTCTGTACTAAGTTTTCTAGTCCATTGAAAAACAAACATGAACAAAAAAACTGTTAAAGAAAAGAAAACGAAAGCCGTTTTGTTGTCTTTTGTCCTTAATCTCATTGTTTTAGTCAGACATTGATCTGACATGGCATCCTTCTTGGAGCCTTTCCATGTAGAAACAAATAAGTGCTTCTGATGCACATTAGGACTGGAACGTATGGCGTGATGTGTAGAGCAGACCGGAAACGCAAGCAGTGTAAATCAGTGGTAAAGCTGCTGGATGGAGCCGTTTCAGGCCAATTTAGAGCAGAGAAAACATTCAGGCAGCTTAAATTCACTCACATGAGCGTCTGCCCTCTGATCCAGGCAGAGGTTCGAAGCGACTGACACGTCCTTTCATCCTGTGTCTTTCGTCTCGCTCTTCTTGGATCCTAAAAGGAGCGGCACATAATGGGAAAACGTTTGCCATTTTATTAGCAAGCAATAACAGCAATGGAAAGTTAATCTTGACTTATGATGAATCGTACTGTTTAAGTTCTTCTTTAAAAAGCTCCAAGTTACTTTTCTTCTTCTCCTTTTCTCCACTCTTCTTTAAAGTCTGAAAATAACAGAAATTTATTACTACCACCAACTTAAAAATACAGCATTTTAAAGCACGAAAAAGGGACGCAATCGGTTGAAAGCACTTACATTTCTTTTGTCTGTTGTTAAAAACTGTGATGGGGTTTCCAAAGGCAGGATACTTTTTGGCTGGGTATCAAAGCGGGATTTGGGTTTGTATAATTTTCCTCTTTTGTCATCAGAAGCTGCTTCCTCTGTAAAATAAAAAAGTATGGCAATTAAAAAAAATCTGCTATAATTAATATCATTAGTGTTAAGCAGCTTCTAAAAATACATACAAAATATTATTGATTTTAAGCTTATTTTATGCTCATCAGTGCGATCAGCTAATAATCATCATTTACAGCCCTAGTTAGGTGATAACAAAGCTTAAAAAGTATACAATAACTATGATGCAACTTTGAACAGCACAAAACCTTAATGGCAATGATGATCAGTGCTTTTAATCACATCAATTGTAGCAGCCCACATTATGTACCTTTTGATGCATTTGCAATACCGCCTCGGACAAATGCTTTGACCTTGCCCTCTCCTCCTCCTTCAAAAGCAGCAAGAAACTCCTCATAAATCTCTGCTGCCGCCCGCTCATCTTCCTAAACAGGAAGAAAAACCAACAAATAAGCAGATATGAAGCATAACAGATCAATTTATGATCCAACCAGAAATGGTTTTAGAAAAGATAAGTCTTACTTTTTTCTTTATTTCATCTTGCTCCTTTTTGCTTAGAGTCCTTTTAGCCACAGCCATCTTTCCAATGCTGAAAGATTTGAGCTTGCTCTCAAGCAGCGCCTGGTGAATGTAAACAAAGAAAGTTTCAATTTAAGGAATACAAGCATCCAGAATGACACTTTGTGTTTCAATTTAAGGAATACAAGCATCCAGAATGACACTTTGTTAGCAACATATTCGAGTATTCAGGCTAAGTGACAGATCCTCTGGCAGCTAAATTGTACATTACAAATAATACTATATATATATATATATATATATATATATATATATATATATATATATATAAAACAACGTTATATAAATATCTGAATGACATTGTGTGAATATAGTTTACTGTACACATTATTCTATGTTACAGAATGAAGACTGCAACAAATTAACCAGCGGCCTAACATGTCGCTATATAAACGGCAGCGGGACTGTCTGAATACAGCACGCTGAGCTGCTAATGCTACACAAACACTCGTTTTCAGAGAGAAAATATGTTCGGCTTATTGTTTTAATATTAACACGGGTTTGTTACCCACTCTTTATTAACGTCATTACATCTACCTTTAGATGTTTTTAAGATAACTACGCCGACTTAGTCCAGGGGTGCATTAGCATTATCGTTAGCATAGCTAAGCTAAAATGGATAAGTTGCGCTAGAGCGGGATGTCACTGTTAGGTAAATAAGCGTTGCTCTAACAGAAGCCGTCTAGTTAACATCAAATGTTTTATGAAGATGCAAAACAATTACATAGCTTTCGTTACATTTGGAAACAGCTTAGCTAAAACGAGAGCAAACGGTAAATTTCACCTTAGCGCTAGCTTTTTGAGAGCCAGGCGTTCGGTCCGCCATCTTTCTGTGCCACTGAAAACAATCGATCACCGACAGCAGCTAAGAATTGGAATCCCATGCCCTTACAATCGATCGTCGATTCAGTGATCGCCCCGCCATTGTTACGTTGGAAACCCGGAAGCAAAGGGGATAATTTTTTAGACTGCAGTTGATACATCAGAATGTTTTTGGCTTTTTTTTTTTTTTTTTTGTTGAACTAGTGATGTTTCAGATGAACTTTTTAACTAGAACAGTCGAAGGCAATCCTAAACAAATGTGTTTTTAGTGTTGATTTAAAGAAACTCAGGCTTTCCGCACACAGGCTTTACCTGTTACATCAGCTCAAATAGTCAAAGGAGAAGAATTTGCCAAAGGAAGAAAAAGGTGCATGAGATATATACAGTATATACAGTCAGGGACGGAGCTAGATCGGGGGCCAGGGGTGGCCATGGCCACCCTTAGCCAATCTGTGGCCACCCCTTTTTTTTTTACGCCCTCTAATACAGAGGGTGGCAGCAGTAATACTGTCAAGAGGAATGTTTAAACTTATTAAACATTTAAATTTTGCATATATTAATATTTACTTGACAACTAAATGCTGTGGTTAATTATGCACATCAAAATACAAACATTAAAGTTGATATTTACAGAATTCATGCTCTTTTAAGACCCTAATTTTGTGTTATATGGGGTAAAGAGAAAATTATGTCTCTGCAAGTCATCAAGGAGTTTTCTGTGAAATCATAGATAAATAACTACTTTAATAGTAACTTAAAAATCAATTCAATGTAGATATTAGTACATGTCATATTAATGTAATGTAATGTAAGTAATGACAATGGAAAAGATGTTTGCCCCAGACATTTTGTCCACTATACCTTTTATTTAGACAGCATGGATGTTTAAATATATGCATGTATTTGTAATCAAAAGGCTGTAGGAAAGTATAGCTAGTCTTTATTTAGTAAATATGGATTTTGTGCTCGTTCCTGTTGAAACAGTGTAGATGGATCCTGAGGTTCTGGCGCCTATCCGCTTTCGGCCAACCTTCAGTTTTCATTGGTTTTTGACTGGCCATCACTATTAAAATTTTCTGGCTACGCCTCTGTAATAGTGGATACAGTAATCCACTATTAATCCACAGTTACTAATCCACAGTAATATGTGGATACAGTGCATCCACATATGACATTTTATTTTTTTTATAGCACGATTATTATTCAGGGTTATTACACAGGGTGCTTACATGGGTATTTATATAGATTGATATTTATATTTATAGATATAGTTATTATTCTGGGTCTCAAATAAGAAGAAACAGGCTATTGCACAGGGTATCAAATACTAATTGCAAACATAATACATTACACAAGTTATTGCCTAAAGGAGCTGCTGATTGTAGAGAAATCCTGGATATTTTAACCAAAAACTAATACCTGCACAAAGCATCCCAACCAAATAGAAAGCTTTCCTTATCTGTAACTTTTTTTTATTTTTGTATATATCATTATTTCTCTTAATTCTTTCCTGTAACTTGTCAATCCCTTTTATACTACATTTTTCATTCGACTTAACTTTCCATTGATATGCCTGGATTCAGCACTCTGAAATCTTCTGTGGCTTAATTTCCTTTGAGTGTGGCAACAACTGTCTCTCACTCTGCTGTCAATATATTATGCAGTATTAATTTTTTGATGAATTGATATTATTAACTTTTCATCTAAAAGAAAATTTATTATTATTATTATTATTATTATTATTTAAAATGATTTTTAAGACCCATGCTGTGCTATAGTAACTCCAGCAGGTGGCGTTTTCCATCTGTCCTTAGGAGATTGATCTCTCATTGCTCTTAATATTTGCTCTGAACATCCATATCAATGCCTTTTTTGCACCATGTTTTTTTTTCCACCTACACTGTTTAGATTTGGTAACTACTACACTTTAAGAAATGGAAATGTCATATACAAAATGACAACAAAAGTTTTCCAAGTCTAAGTCCGTTTGACAGATTGTGAATTATGCTACAATTTATGTCCGTAAAATTTGAAATGTATTAATTATTTGCATTTAAATAAGTTGTAGACTTCCATCTTTCATACCAATGTCACATAAGATAAGCTATGTATTCAGCAATGTCAAACCACACATGAATGATCTCAGTCAAGTTTAATCATGCCATCTGCTAATTCTTTCCAGACCAGGTGAGTATGAATCTATGACAGGACCCCACACCCTCCAGGTGCCTCCACCTTTCTCTTTTTTAATTTCTTTTTCTTTTCTTTTTTCCCCCCTCCATGATCCGTCCCCTCTCACAGCCCCAGAACAAACCCTATATTCATGTGCTCAAACTCCCTGCAGTAACTCCTGGGCACTTGGCCCCCCTCCACTCACTCCACTGCTTCAGCTGCTGAGCGCAATGCCACGGAGCGAAACCAGGCGCAGCGCCTGCTCCATTTACCCAGCCATGTGGAGGACATGCAGTATCTTTTGCTCATGGTCTTTGCTATTCCTGGCAGAAGTTTGTGCGCAGTCTCAGCAGAGGTAAAACCTTTTTTCATTTATTTCCAATCTTAAAAAAGAATATAATGTTATGAGGACCAGAGGAGGAATTTTGAGAGGAGTATGCTGAGGAGTATGGACTCACATTCACGCACTGAAGATCTCTGTTTTATAGAGGCTGATCGAAGTCCATACTGCATGTTTGTTTGTTTTGTTTCATAATTTAATATTATGTTATTCTCATCATGTGGAAAAATGTCACCTTCAGATCAGTCTTCACATGTGGCGGAAACATCACAGGGGACTCTGGAGTTATTGGAAGCCAGGGTTACCCAGGAGTTTACCCCCCTAACACCAAATGTGTGTGGAGAATCACAGTGAGTCTCATACCTCCAAACAATAAATTAGGAAGATTAATGAAAAAGGTTCAATAGATTCAACAACAACCAAATAGTTGTAGCCTACTATGGTGTGACAGGTCTAATTACTACTTTCTAAAAATATTTAATTACTGTGCCTGCTCAGAAACCTAAAAGTTTCTGAGACTTAAGTTCAGAAAGTTTAAAAACATTTGTTTTTAAGTCCTGCCAAAGATTCTACATTTAATTTAGCTCTAGACTTCATTTGGGCCATTCTAATAGGTGAATATGCTTTGATGTGAACCATCTTCTTGTGGTTCTGACTGTATGTTTAGTGTTTCTTTTCCTGTTGGAATGTGAACTTCTGTACCAGCCTGAGATCCCACATGTATGGTTTCACCAGCAAACATGAAAAAAAAAAAGAAAAAAAAGGGGGATTTCAATTTTTCAAATGAAATAATATATTTAATTGTCAAGCTGCTCCTATGTTTATGCCTCACTTGACCTTTTACGACATTTCTAATTGGATGAAAGTTAGGGCTAAAAAAAATACTGAATAAAATGCCAATTTGTTGGTATGAATTCTAGATGTTAGGAATGTATGAATTCCTTATGGCTTTGAGAAGTGACTTAATGTCTTCTTCTAATTCGTTTTAAAAGGTTTACATAGTTTCTGGTAGATGAAAATATATGATGCAACTAAATTAATAAAGTTAAAAGGAGGATGATTGCTGGTAATTTTAAAATACCACATGGCAGAATTTTATATGGACAGTTTAAATTTAAAATCAAGGGCTGTCTATTTAAAGCTGTGCTGTCTGTTGCACCCAGTATATGAGAATGATATGAAATTGTATGAAGTAATAATCAAACTGATATTCTATGCTCTGTGACGTTTCAAACCTAGGTACCTGATGGCAAGGTGGTCGTACTGTCGTTTCGCTCCATGGATCTAGAGAACGACAACCTTTGTCGCTATGACTACGTGGACGTACACAGCGGTCACATCAACGGCCAGAGACTTGGTCGCTTCTGTGGGACCTTCAAGCCCGGAGCTCTGGTTTCCACAGGCAACAAGATGCTCCTACAGATGGTTTCTGATGCCAACACTGCTGGGAGTGGTTTCTTTGCTGTTTTCTCTGCTGCTCACCCTCACGAGAGAGGTAGGGATGAAGCTGGGAACGTAGTCAAAGGATATATATATATATATATATATATATATATATATATATATATATATTTTTTTTTTTTTTTTTTTTTTCGGTGTTGCACCGATACTAACCCTATACCGATACCAGTATCGGGCGAGGCTCCGACCCAGCACTAAAATTGTCGTATCGGTATTGGCGAGTACCAACAAATAGGGCACCAATACCATTTTGGGAGCCAAATATTATTCAACTATTGTCACCCATTCCAAGTAGGCAATAAAAAGTTCTACCGGATTCACTTTGCATTAGTTTTTTACCTGCTTCACAGAGGTAGGCAGTAGCTTGACAAAGCCATGATGGCAATTATTTTACATCCAAGTAGTATGCAGTACTTCATACACACATACATCAATGTGAAACAGATGGTATTCGTATGGTATTGGCCAATACTGCACAGCCAGGTATCGGTCTCGGGGCCAAAAAAAGCATCATCATCATATATATATAGCTATCTATATATCTATATCTATCTATATGTATATATATATATATATATATATATACATATATATATAGGTGTACATTTTATACCCAAACCTCAAGGCTGTTATAGAAGTAGTTTTGAACATTTTGAAAGGTACAACATGTTGGAACCAAGAAGCCAGGAAAATTGTTTATCCAAACCTCAGAAAAACTTCAAGTTTTAAAGAATTTATTTCGATTTTATCTTGTAGTGTTTTTATGTTCAGTATAAGTTCATGTTCATGCAAAGAAACAGAAAGGTGAATCTCAGCTTTCCTCTCAGCATAATGTGGTATTTCTCAGCTGCTTTTTTTTTTTTACTCTTCTGTGTAAGATTTCAGTTAAAAACCACAGTCAGAAGTATCACTTAGAGGTAAATGAGTATTTTTCTGTCTGAAGTCCCATCTACTTTCTTTTTTTTGGTGGAATTTTAATGGATAGTTTCTGGTACTCTGCCAAATCCACGGCTGTAATGAATACTGTCTCAGCAACCCGTTTGCCGGACTATGTTTTTATCATGGAAAAGAAACTAAAATAAAGCTTCTCATATCTGATCAAAGCAACATCTCCTCTATTTTTGTAATATAGCTCAAATTGAGTTCATTTGTTTGTCATTCAGGGAAGTAAGTTACAAACTCATAATACTTAAAGGCATTTTACAGGACCTTTTACACATTTAGACATGCTTGTTTCTCAGATTTAGGACTTAAAAGATGAGAAATAACATCTGGAAACACAATTTAAAAGTTTGATCCTCTGTCTTCATAGGTGACCAGTATTGTGGAGGCATACTTCATAAACCATCTGGGACTTTCAAAACGCCTAACTGGCCTGAAAAGGACTATCCAGCCGGTGTTAGCTGCTTCTGGCATATAGTGGCACCGAAAAACCAGGTCAGTTTCTTACAAAACAGGTGAATCTAAAATAAAAGTCAAATCTGTTAATTTCTTTAATTCAACTCAAAAACTAGAAGCTTATAATATAGAGATTATTTACATATGAAGTGATAGATTGTGGTCATTTTGATGAACATGACTAATCAAACCATTATTTTTTGGAAATTAGATATGTGCTTTAAGGAAGGCAAATTATAAAGGTGTAGATGTTGGAGCTCAGCCTGTTTTTCAGTGTAGTCCTGTTTCTCTGACTGTGACTAGATGCATGAACTCTCTTTCATCCTTTGATGTCGGGGCTGACTGAGAGCTCGTCTGCCTGGCTGTGTGTTTCCTGGATGGGGCCGCCAGTGAAGCTGGTGGACAGCTGCCTTTTGTATCTTTGATTCTGTCTCCTTGAACCCCAGTCGGCCTTGACATTATGGCCTCTCACACTGAGCCTGGTTCTGCTGGAGGTTTCTTCCTGTTAAAAGGGAGTTTTTCCTCTCCACTGTCACTACAAGCATGGTTGGTGTCAAGGATTGCTTTCGAGTCAATGAGTCCATGTAATCAACTGGTTTTCCTTATATAGAAAACTTTGAATCAAATTGACTGTATGATCTGGTTGAATTGTAAAGTGCATTGACATGACATGTGTTGTAAATTGACGCGTTATAAATAAACTGAATTTAATTTAAAATAAAGGTTGTGAAAGGATCTTTTCTGTTAGCTGTATCCAATACAGAAATGGAAACTTTTTGGAAAGAGAAAAAAACTTTAAAATCACTGAAGTTTAAGTTTTCATTACCTTAAAATTAACAGAAATAAATGCTTAAACAAATGTCATCTATATGTAATGTATAGACTTTATGACCCCTACCTTTTCTAATCCGTTTACTGAAAGAAATAACGTTTTCACATTGAAATGAATGCACTTTGTAAACTACCACTTATTTAGAGGACTGTTTGCCTGCAACAGAGAGACAATCATTGGGGAATTATCTACTGCTACAGATCATCGAAGTAAGGTTTGAGAAGTTCGACGTGGAACGGGACACCTACTGCCGCTATGACCATGTCTCCATCTTCAACGGGCCGGAAATAAATGACGCCAAAAGGATCGGCAAATACTGCGGCGACAGCCCCCCAGCGTAGGTGATTTCTGTCATGCAGAAGGTACTATTTCTCAGTGGAAATTTGCATCTTGTGATTTCATCCCAGTTCATCATCGATCCCTCTTTCCCTGCACCGCTTATTAGACCAGTGTTCTCTGAGGGGAATCACCTCCTGATCCAGTTCCTGTCAGATCTCAGCCTGACTGCGGATGGCTTCATCGGACACTACAAGTTCAGACCCAAGAAGCTGCCCATCACCACCACACCAGCAACCACCACCACGAAGCCGGTTACCACTACACCCATACGTACGTATTAACTTCATTCATGTAAAAACTGCTGAAATATTTGTTGGATAATTCTAGCATTTTGGGAACACTTTATTGCAGCAGTGTTGTCCCACAATAAAAGTGTAGAAAAAAATCTAACCTTTTATATATATTATTATATATTTTATACATTCATTCAGTGGGGAAAACTGAAAAACCCTATGAAAGGATTTAAAAAAAATGAAATGAACAATGAGCAAATGATTGGCCCCATGCTGTCAGTACTTGGTATAACTGTATTTTGCTGATAGGACTGAAGTTAATCTTCTCCCTTAACTCTCATCCCTAATATCAGAACATCATCCAAAATTTTGGGTTATCTCTTATGCTCTCTTCTCTTCAGCCCACCACATAGAGTATATACTGTAGTAGTTGTTGGTCTGAGAGGGCCATGAATGAATATGGCCATATGTGTTCACAGTCTGTTCATTTTGCCATATGATTTGAATCATTTTTGAGTTGAAATAAACATTGTTAGTTTCCAAATACGTAGAGTCAATTTAAATAGTATATAGTATATAATTCTAGAGTATAGAACCTTTTCTATAGTTGGGGAGTGCTAGCCTAGTGGGTTAGAGCAGTGCACTTGTGCTCTGAGAAGGTTGCAAGTATCCAGTTCGATCCCAAAAGCCTGCACTCTGGGTCTCTGAGCCTCAATCTCCAATTGCTCCCCGAACACCGCACAATGGAAAACTGCTCTCCAAGGGGATGGGTAAAATGCAAAGAATGAATTTCTCCAGTGTGAGATCAATAAAGTTAAATTATTATTATATGTACAAATCTGTTATGCAAGACTAATAGGCCCACAGCATCACTGGTCCTTCCCCATTGTTTACACTTCTCATTGGGTGGTTTTCAAAATGTTGAATATTTGTTCCATATCAAACCCAACCGAACTCATCCAACCAAAGCACAGGTTTCAAATTAAAGTTCCAGGGTGTTTCCAAAACTCCATGTTTGCCATTTTGAAATGTCAGGGTAGAAATTGATTAATCCCAGCATAATTGCCAAACAATCAGTTGGCATGGAGGTAGAAAATAGTGGAGACTTGATTACCTCAGCCTTATTTTGCGACTGCTCTTTTAACCCTTTAAATAAGGTAGAATGTGCTTTAATAAAGAAGTGGCTACTCCACATGCAACAGTGTTGGTGTTTGAAACAACCATTCGTGATAAGAATGGTTGTTCTCTTACCTTCTTTCTCTGATTCTTTTTGAAACAAGCTACTAGCTCCACAAACATCTAAAACACAAACCAAGCCATTTAATTATGGTCATTTGAATCTAGGTGAGTACTGCTACAATAATTATCACACATCTGCCTGACTTGAATGTAATACTTTACAGTCTTTCTCATGTTGTCATGTCATATTCAAACCTCAGGGAAACAGGAAGTTAAGGATTAATACTCTGACTAATTACTAGTAACAATGAGGACAGAATGAACATTAATCGAAGAAAAAATATCTTTACCAAGGGTGCTAATAAGTTGAGTGGAGGGTGTTGTGAAGAAGTACCATAGTATGATTACAATAAAGGTAAAAGTATACAGAAAAGGAAAGTTTAAAGGATTTTAAATGCTCAGACTGTGCACTGGATAGAGCACATCATCCTGCTCATGGAAAGTCCCCAAAGCAGTACATGGTAATACAGAACTGATCCTAAAAGTGTGTTTGTTACCATTTTCCCTTAGTAAACTGTACGTTACATAAATTGACTGGCAGTGCAGGCATACATCTTTGCCTGCAATAGTAGTTCATTTTCATATTCAAACACTCACTCTCCCACACTGTTGCTTTTTCCCTTAGTCAGGCCAGGTTATTTTGGCAGCGACCCTCCATGTGATGATGTCACTCAGTGACACTGCTTCCCGTCTGGCTCATCTTCCCTGATTTTCCTTCTCCCAGTGAGAAAATATGTAGTCAGTCACCTTATATTCTTTCTTTAATAGATTCTAACTTCAAAAACAGATGTTTTCTTATTTTGTTATTTAATTTTTTTTTTGTCTTGAAAAGTGACAGAGATTAGAATATTTTGTAATTGAGAGTGTCCAGTAAAGAGATCACAAAAACAGATGGAGTCATAACTTACATGCATCAATGGCTAAAAAAAAAAAAATAAAATAAAAAAGAATATGTGTATTTGTGTGTGTCTCCACAGCTCTGAAGTACTCGGTGGCCTTGTGTCAGCAGAAATGCAAAAGACAAGGAACCCTTGAGAGCAATTACTGCTCGAGCAATTTTGGTGAGAACATCAATGCATGTCATGTTTTTATAACCCTCCTAAATTACCCTAATTAATAGATTTCATCTTCTGTTGCATTGTGAAACTTTTGCAAACATGCTTATCCCTAAGAGCTGAGGATCCGTAGACGTATATCAAGAAGTTCTTGACAGCCAAAACTCCCCCTTAAGTAGCTGTTTACAGCCCTGATCTTGTCCTCTCTTTTTTTGGTCATGCAGCTAAAAGCCTGCCTTCATAAACAGTCTGGAACTGAAGTACTGCACACATTAGGGCACAGTAACCTCTAGTATGGATGCAAACACTCCCAGATTCTGTAAGGGAGTTTGGTGTAAAATAAACAGACACGCTCTCTGGGATGTTAGCTGCATACGGGTGATCTACACTTGGAACTGAGCCAGAGCCCAATGAGCAAAGGATATGGAAAATGTCTCATGAATGTTGTGGTTGTGGGGAAGTGAGTTCAGGATTTGTTAGAAGTGGTGAGACAGTGGGTTAAAAACAGTCCTGTCTAATCAGTGCTTTAAGTCTTAGAACAGCTGGTGTTGTTTCATCCAGATAAGTTCTCTGAGAACCATCCAAAGCACTTTTCTGGTTTGTGTAACAGTAGTATCTGACTTCTCAGCTCTGTCAGTGCAGACACAGTGAGCCCAGCATTAGTAAGAGTTCTGTCCCCCCCCCACCCCCCTTTAGGTTCCTTCTTTATCTATAATTCCTCCAGTGCCACCCGCCCACTGTTACAGAGTTTCCATGAGTCAGAACAAAGACAATGTGTACTCTTCTGGAGGCCTTCGTCAGACTAAACAGGAAATCACTCCAACCCCCACTTCAATATATTGTCTTAGCATGAGGGGACAACTTGGAGCTTTGCTTTTTATAAGAAGATAGTCACATTATTATGGAAATTCTATGGAAATTGAATAAATATATATGCACTCATTATTCGCAATAAAGTCATATTAACCTTGGAGTTTTTCCAAGGTATAATTATATAGTGATATATTTACACCACAAGCATTGAGTAAAAAAACAAGAAAACACTCAGAAAAAACTGGAAACATGTTTTGATTAAATTTATATTATCTTCCCTTTATAATTTAGGCTCAAATACATTTATAAAACCCTGTATCCATCAGTAAGCCTTTCACATCCCTTTCATCTTATCAGAATGTTCTGCCAATGGTTCTGCTCTATCCATAAAAACTTTTCCAGAGGACAGCTGTAAATTTTCATTTCAGTAACTTCTTTCTCCAACAGAATGCTAGTAAATTTGCTTCATTTATTACCTAAAAGTTTTTTTGTTTCACCAATAACACTTATGAAAAAGGAGCGGTCAAAACAACGCTTAAAAACAGTTACAATTTCGAAATCAATATGGCTATTTATAGTCATTCAACTTTTCCATAAAACAGTTTTTGGCTCTGGAAGTAAAGTGCTTTGCTGACATTGTGTTGTTTGACTTTTAGCATTTTACTTATACTTGAGCATTATAGCCAACAGCTGAGGAACAGGTTAGTGAAAGGTCGGGAGGGAAGCATTGAGCTCTAACATCCTGTTAATTTATGCTGACATTTACAGGCTGGCTACACTCTAAAGAAGGTCCATAAAAATAAAATATACTTCAAATATGTCCACATCTCTCTCATACAAATGAAGCCGTAACATAGATTTTCTTTACTGCAGCTGTCAAATGCAAAGCTCCTGTTTTCTATCATTCTTTTCCTTCCAATCCCTACAAGAGGCTTATCTATAAAAAAAAAAAAAAAAAAAGTAGTGTTTACCTTGCAAATACTCTAACGTAGATCTAAAATAGCTACAACTGCACATCATTATAAATACAGCCCATTCTTTAATGTCTCTTTTGGTTGTCTGTCACAGTAATAACAGGGACAGTCATTACTGCGGTGATTAGAGGAGGAAGCATGTATGCCACGGTCTCCATCATCAATGTGTATAAGGAGGGCAGCCTGGGAATCCAGCAGGCAGGGAAGACGATGAGCACCAAGATCATTATCCTGTGCAAAAAGTGTCCATTAATCAGAAGAGGTAACTGTAACGATTAAATTAAATAATTAAATCCTCCTTTCTTGCATGTTTTAAACATTCAGTAATGATGCAGCCTCTGGTTGACTGTTTTAAATAACAAATGGCTTTGAGTTTGCCTCCTGTTCTGGCGCCCCGGTCAGCCAAGCTAGCCAAGGCATAAGGTAAGCAGGCAAAACTCACTGTCCAAACAGTCAACAACAGCTAAAGCTGTAAACATTAAACATACAGACCTGCCACATGCAGACTCTCATGTCCGGCCTCCCTGAATGTCTCTGCCATTCTGCCACTGCATTCAGGTCTTTTTTGTGTGACTTCACCAGGCTTGAACTACATCTTCATGGGCCAGGTGGATGATGAGGGCCGGGGGAAGATCGCCCCGCACCACTTCGTCATGGCCTTCAAGAAGAAGAACCAGAAAGGACTTAACGTTCTGAAAAACAGGCAGTGCTGATTTTCTTTGGCAGAAGATTTCCGTCAGACCTTTCCCACCCAAAGAGGACTCAGCTGTGGATTGAATCAATTAGGAGGAAAACACAGCTCCTTCTTAAGGACACAGAGATTATATAACATCTGGCAGTGAAAAATAAAATATGTATAGCTGATTTAATTAAGGGTATCTCACACTTTTGCATAGAATGGTGACTTTTTTCTTTAATTGCTGGCATTATTAAATTGATAAGGCCTGCATCCCGTTTATAATACATTTCGTTATCCTGTTGTTTCAACTTAGGTTAATGAACAGAAAATGAGTTAAAATATCTCCTTCTATCTGCAGTTTTCTCTTAGAGATAAAAAGGTAGCTTGTCAGAAAAATCTTTCCTCTACATTTTTTCTTTTTCCACATCTGTTCAGGCAGCGAATACTGGCACTTTCTTTTAGAATGACTCCAGACGTAACTTTTTATTGTTTTCAATCAAAACTGCTATCAAAAGTACAGAATGGAATGTTGAGAGTTTTGCCCAATTGTCTTATCATCCAAAGGAAATTTATTTTTTATTTTTTTATGACAGTCATCTAAAATGCTCATATATACAGTTTTGATTGATATGTTTCACATTTTAAATGTGTTGACTGAAGTGCAATATTTATTGATTCATGCCAAATAAGTTTTTTGATTTTATATTAAAATATTTACTTTTCAGTTATGCAAACAACCAACCAATTCATGTCATATAAATACTGTCAATATTATTTTTTCAAGCAAAAACACTTTAAATATATATAAAAGTTTATGAATGTTATTTATAAAACATTGTTTTTATCTTACCAAATAAAACAATATTTTCATCCCTGTTTGCTATGAACTTTTTGGCATTAGAATGAATAAGACATGTGAAATGTGGGATGCGTGGACAACGGTCTGCTGCTAGCTGAGGAAAACTTTTCAGGAATAGAAAATAAAAGTGGGAATTAAGTGTTTTTATTTTTTATAGGCAGCTGACATGTTAGCAGAAGCAGATAGCTTTCACCAAGTCTTCGTTAAGTATCAATTCAGGAGGCTGAAGCTAAGGTTCGCCCAAGGGAGGCCAAAACACAGACACAGGCTCTTTAAAGAAAACCAGTCTCAGCAACGTCAGAGGGTTTGTGCAAAGTCTACATCATGAGCTTTTAAACTATTTTTCATTATGCTGTTTTTTTAGACAGAAGCCAGTAATCATTTACACAGCGAATAGAAGTAGGGGGTTGAGCCCTTTCATTGATCTCCCTGTGTTAAACACATTCTAGTAGAAAAATAAAGACAGCATTTAAATAATAATTGCTGCTGTCTGCTGTAGCTTTATTCTTTCTCATAACCTGCTTCCTACAGATAGATCTTTTTTTCCCATTGTCAGTAATCATGGGGCTTTCATGCAAATAACCACCTTATATAGAAGTTATACACTTGTATTACCTCAGCGATAGTCAGATAGACTAGATAATGACTGGTCAAGGAGGAATCAAGTTGTCCCATTTGAAATACCAGCTTACCAGTTATAGAAGCATGTTAAATGGCTTCTTGTTCATAATCCACATAGAAGATGTTGAGGTTTCACCGTTCTGTTATTCCACAATATACTGCAGCATTACTGTAAGTATTTTTTATAATACGATTTTAAAACAGCTGTTTTAAAAATGTCAGATGTCTGCTTTGGTTTCTACCCAGCTCGGATTAGCTGTTAGCTACCAGGTCCCACTAATAAGCATTTATTTCAAATGAAAACACCAAGAGAAATATCTGCTGATAATTAGATATTCAATTCTCATTTCTCTTTACTTAGTTTTCAACAATAACTATCTCTGTCTAGGTTTCTAGAGTCATCAAATCCAAAGAAAGTCCAAATCTTTTATTAATCTTTATTTTCTGTTGAAAAGAATGGCTTTTTTTATTTACAAGATAAGGGTTACACAGCTGAATAAATAGGAGGCCTGAGTCTTTGGTGAATACATAGTTCTCTAACAAAGGTCCAGGTTTTAAAATTAGCCCAGTGACTTTAAAGAGCAGAGTTTTTGCACATGCTTGGGGGATCCCAGATAAACATGAAGCAGATGTTAATAAGGAGGAAAGAAGGAAGAGGAAATAGTCAGTTTTTTGTTGTTGTTTTTTTCTTTGCCTTAGCTCCTTGGGTAAAACATGGCGTATTTGGATGTCCGGAATCCCAACAGGTCCCTCATCTCGTTGCGAAACTTGGACAGATCTTGGCGAAGGTCGTTGAGATTTTCCACCGTGGCCTGATCCATGCTCTGCATCTTCTGTCGTGTGGAAGTCAGGTAGCGGTGTACCAGACAACACATGATCTTCTGGTAGTTCTCATCACGCTTCTGTTTCAGGTTCTTCCACTCCTGCAGAGAAACCACATTTTTTCAAGGATGGACATTGTTTCAGTTTTAAAAACCTACAGAAGTCATAAAGGTGTAGTGGAGGATGTTCTTTTTCCAAGTGGATCATCAAAATAATTGGTCCTCCTAATTGTCAATCACTCTGATGATATGTTTACATAAGACCGTCCTACGTTCTTGTCCCGATTTTCACTATGTCAGACTCCCGGTGGTGAGTCCTGCTCCCCAAAAAGAATGTTTCACTTTAGCAGAGCATTATCAGATAATGAAGTTATAATTTTAAAGAATGTGTTCCACTTAATATCACTAATTGTTCATAACATAGACTACAGACATGTCTTGAAAGCATAAAAACCTAGATGACTCTTAACTTTATGTATCTCAATGCATATCAAACAGAAGTTACTGTCTTTGGACCAGAGTCTTGGAAAATAAAGTGATTAGTGAGTCAATTCATTTGGATGGGATTAAATTGATCTCAGATAATAAAGAAAAAAATCTTGGTGTTGATCAAGACTAGAATTTCAATCCCATATCAAGAGGTGTCTAGAATTTCCATCCTTCATCAACAAAATATTGCAAAAATTAGAAATATCCTGTCCAGGGGTGATGCTGAGAAACCAGTTCATGCATTTGTTACTTCAAGGCTGGACTATTGTAATTCTTTAAAATCAGGAAATCCACAAACTGTAGTTAAAGGCCTTCAGCTGATCCATAACGCTACAGCCAGAGTTCTGATGAAAATTAAAAAGAGAGATCATATTTGTTCTATTCTAGCTTGTTTTCATTATCTTCCTGTTAAATCCAGAAAATAATTTAAAATTCTCCTTCTTACATATAAAGCCTTAAAGCTGCAGTCTGTAACATTGAGGAGAGAGCAGACTTCGACTGAAAATTTGAAGAAAAACAGGTTTCACTCCACTCCCCCACCCTCTCTGCTTCACTCATGCCCCACCTCCAAGCTCCACCCCTCTCACAGCATCTGCGCGGCTACCGCATGCGACCAGAAGGGGGGGGCGGGATTCAGCGTGTGTGAGCTGTGATTGACACTCCATCAGACGCTCCTCTGGCTGTGATTGGTTGTTTTGACTCGTCCCGAATTATTCTTTCCAGATTGAAATACAGGCAGTAGGCGGTACCAATTGAAGCAGTTTTTTTCACAGGTTACATATCACATGTTCTGCTGTCTGGGCATAGGGACAGTTTTAGCCAATATGACAAAAAAGTGATTTTTAAAAACTTACAGACTTCAGCTTTAAATGGCCAAGCTCCATCTTATATCAGAGATATGATTGTTCCTTGTGTTCCTAACAGAGCACTTCACTCTCAATCTGCAGGTTTAGTGGAGGTTCCTAGAATTTCTGAAAGTAGAATGGGTGCCAGATCTTTTAGTTATCGGGCTCCTCTCCTGTGGAACCAACTACCAGTTTTAGTCCATGAGGCAAACACCCTGTCTACTTTTAAGGGAACGCTTAAAACTTTTTGATAAAGCTTATAGTTAGAGGGGCTCAGGTTATCCTGAGCTATCTCTATAGTCATGCTGCTATAGGCTTAGACTGCTGGAGGACATAGGGACCCATTTTTAATCATTCTGACTAATTCTATCTCTATTTTCCCCATCTGCAGTATTTTGTAGTTCAATATCTAATGTTATGATCTCTCTGCTTTTTCTCACCATAGTAGCTTCATCTGGTCTGTTCCTGTTTGACTGTGACGCCATCCTAGAGAGAGATATCAGCTATGCTGCTGCCGTCAACCCCTTTATTTATATATGTTGGAGCTTGGTCTGTTTTTCATCCTATCTCTCTGCTGTGACTAACTATATGTGCTCTTTCTCATCCTCTGACATGGGAACTGGCTCGGAGCTCATCTCCCTGACTGTATGTTTCCTGGAATTGGCCGCCTTTGGAGCTGGTTGATAGTTACCTTTTATCTTTTTCTATGTCTGCTTCTGTCCCCTTGAACCCAAGTTAGATTTGGCAGATGACCGCTTACACTGAGCCTGGTTCTGCTGGAGGTTTCTTCCTGTTAAAAGGGAGTTTTCATCTCCACTGTCGCTTCAAGCATGCTTGTGTGAGGAATTGCTTTCGATTCAATAAGTTGATGCAATCAGCTGGTTTTCCTTAGATAGAAAGCTTTGAGCTAATCTAACTATATAATCTGGATGAATTGTCTCCGTAAAATGCCTTGTGATGACATGGACTGTGAATAGGCACTATATAAAAAAAACTAATTTGAATTTAATTGAATAAATAAAACCATCAAAAAACATCCTTCTTATGGTTATTAGAGTGTACTTAGTTTTTCCATAAACAACATATCTGTTTATGCCAAAAGAAATGCGATGAAAGGAAAAGGGGTTTATTTTAACCGTTGTTTTGAATTTAAAAAGATGACATGCATCTAAAGTCATGACTATGTTTAACTTTCTCACCTTGAGGCTATTCTGTCTCTTCACTTTGCCCTTTGTGGTGTGAGAACAGATCCATTTCCTGAGACTGGTCACCAGGTAGCAGACGGTCTTCGGAGAGGTCAGGATATTAAGAGGTGGGGGCAGGGTACACTTGTCATCAAAGTAACTCAGCCAGAGTTTAGCCCGTGCAAACTTCCACTCCTTATCCTCATGGTTCTATAAAAGCACATTAAAAAGCACTTTTATACCATAAAGCTTGAACTGTTCAAGAGAAAAAAAAAATCTTGGAAATGCAAAATCACCATTGTAATCTAATCAGTTGTAAATAGTGACTCAAAGAATAAACAAAGAAACAATTTACCATCTGTGAGTCATTATGGAGTAACTTAAAGTAACATCTAATCGTAACATAAGTAAAAACAGATGCTGCTTTCAGCTCTGCGATTAATTTTAATTGCCTGAGACATTTACAGAGCCAGATGTTGTTTAAACTTACAGCAATTTGTCTGAAACTTTTATGGAGCATGGCCACCAGCAGCTTGGTCAGCACAATAACCACCACAATGTTGTAGGTGCCTATGATCATGGCGCCGACGAAGGAGCGCAGCTCCTCTGTGTAGCTGATGCGGGTGACAAAGAGCGCAACATGCGCTAAGGAGAAAATGTACCAGAACAGAGCGTAGCAGGTCCCCATAAACCTGGAAACAGAGGAAGCTGATGCATAAATATAAAAGTGGCTGCCAGCCAATGTTCCCTCTAATTTGTCATGTGCCTGAGCATACACACAAGGGGCAACATCAGATGTGCACTCTTAAGCAATACACCAATATTAAACTAGTTATAAACCTGGGGTCATAGAATTTCCATAGTTTGTTAAAATCATAAGAGATTACAGCAGTAATTTCTAGTTGCTTACTTTTATTTTTAGTGCTTTGGCCAACTTAAAATAAAATAAAAAATAAAAATAAGTAATGAGATGTGTTGTATGCTATATGTAAATGTGCAGTAGCACAGATGAATAGCATTTCTACTATGAATTTCATAACAGTATAGGCATTTAATA